TGGCGGCCTTCCGGGAGGACGAGGGCTGCCTGCCCGAGGGCGGCGAGGACGAGAAGCCGCTGCCCTCCCAGCCCTTCCAGCGCCAGGTGTGGCTGCTCTTCGAGTACCCGGAGAGCTCGGGGCCCGCCCGGGGCATCGCCATCGTGTCGGTGCTGGTCATCCTCATCTCCATCGTCATCTTCTGCCTGGAGACGCTGCCGCAGTTCCGCGCGGACGGCCGGGGGGCCGGCGACGGCGGCGGCGTGGGCCGCGTGTCCTCGGTCCCCCGGGGCAGTCAGGAGGAGGACGAGGAGGAGGACGAGGCCTACGCCTTCCACCCGGGCCTCGCGCCCGGGGCCGCGGGGCCGGCGGGCTCCTCTGCGCTGAGCGCGCTCGGCGGCTCCTTCTTCACGGACCCCTTCTTCCTGGTGGAGACCCTGTGCATCGTCTGGTTCACCTTCGAGCTGCTGGTGCGCTTCTCCGCCTGCCCCAGCAAGCCCGCCTTCTTCCGCAACATCATGAACGTCATCGACCTGGTGGCCATCTTCCCCTACTTCATCACGCTGGGCACCGAGCTGGTGCAGCAGCAGGAGCCGCCGGCGGCCGGCGGCGGCCAGAACGGGCAGCAGGCCATGTCGCTGGCCATCCTGCGCGTGATCCGCCTGGTGCGCGTCTTCCGCATCTTCAAGCTCTCGCGCCACTCCAAGGGGCTGCAGATCCTGGGCAAGACGCTGCAGGCCTCCATGCGCGAGCTCGGGCTGCTCATCTTCTTCCTCTTCATCGGCGTCATCCTCTTCTCCAGCGCCGTCTACTTCGCGGAGGCCGACGACGACGACTCTCTCTTCCCCAGCATCCCGGACGCCTTCTGGTGGGCGGTGGTCACCATGACCACGGTGGGCTACGGGGACATGTACCCCATGACCGTGGGGGGCAAGATCGTGGGCTCGCTGTGCGCCATCGCCGGGGTCCTCACCATCGCCCTGCCCGTGCCCGTCATCGTCTCCAACTTCAACTACTTCTACCACCGCGAGACCGACCAGGAGGAGCAGGGCCAGTACACGCACGTCACCTGCGGGCAGCCGGCCCCGGACCTGAAGGCCGCCGACAATGGGCTCGGCAAGCCCGACTTCCCCGAGGCCACGCGGGAGCGGCGGCCCAGCTACCTGCCGACGCCGCATCGCGCCTACGCGGAGAAAAGGATGCTCACGGAGGTGTGACCCGTGCAGCCGAGCCTGCAGGGGCAGGGGGCACGGAGCAGACAGGCTCTTCGCCTTCCTTGGCATTGTCACGCCTCTCGCCCCGGCTCCGCTGGACTTCTCGGCTCCCTTCCCGACACCCACTCCCTGGCGTCCCGGACCACATGCCTGGACTGCCAGCCTTGTTGCTTGATCCCTGCCGCGTTCAAGGCGAATCCATCTAAGTGACATTTCTGACGTTCCAATGGTGCCACCCAATCACACCCGTCTCCTGCCACGTGGATGAGATGTACGTTGATGTCTGACCTTCCCCCAAGACTCTGACTTTTCGCCTCCGGGACTTGTGCTGTTTCTAGGAACGGCAATGTCAACAGGTTGGAAACCAGCCGTCCCTGGGTCCTATCTGGCGCCTCGGTGTCCTTTGCTTTGGGGTATGCCCCTCTCTTAACTTCTGGCCACCTGGTGACTGACCGAAACAGGAGGAGAGAAACTGGACTCAGCTTGCTGTTTTGCTCCTGTAGTACTTGCTGTCATTCTGCAGAGGACTCTCGGTAGACCCACATTTGTGCTGCCTCCAAATAGGTTATTCATTCCTAACCTTGGATGGAATGAGAGAAAATACAAATAAACTCGACCACTGGGAGGATACGGGGATCAGTCTTGGACCAAAGGGGCCAATGGATTCTTCCAGGTATGTTCCAGCACAAGAGACCCTGGCTTTTGATCTACACTGAGTCCTCTCCACTCCGATTCCCTGACTTTCTCTAGCTTCCAGGAAGGTTCCTTCTCCGAGCCAAATACTCTTTTTGTGTAAGTGCCTTCCTGTGCAAAGGAACTGGAAAAAAGGAACCACAGAGCCAGGAGAAATGGCTGAACAGAGTCAAGCAACTGTCTTGACAACACATCTGAAGCTAGGTGCCGCTTAAGCAGATATTGTCATCTCGAAGGGGCAGAGGAATCTTGTTGCAGACAGCAGCTTTTTCTCCCTCGTTTTCCCCCAATCCTCTCTCGCCCGCCCTCTACCCTGCTTCCTGGGAATTTGACTTAGGATTGCAGTTGAAGGCTTTCCCAAGCCAACTCCAGCTGAAACTCCAAGACAAGTAAAAGCACACATTGGATGCCAGCACGAGTTTCTTCCCATTTTACGGGCAGGGAAATATGTGGTTTAGAATAAGGAACAAGCATCATTCCTCTGCCAACAGCCTCATCGTTAGAGGTTTTTTGCTGAGTCAAGCAAACACTCACCTGCCCTGCCCCTTGGAGCTGCATGTGACCTGCTCTCACTGGTAAGGTGACGGGGTGGCGTTCCCACCTGGGCTAAGCCGCTCTCTTCCCTTGCGAAACCACCGCCGTCCATCCACCTGTCCACCTCTCCTCTTTTCTCTCAGTGACACGGCCATTTGTTATTTGCCTTTGAGAAACTGAGCTCTTCTGAGTGCAGTTCTGAAGCTGAAAGCACTGTTAACGTGGTTTTGATTTTATATCTATGCTTTAAGACTCTTTGATGAGAATTTTTTGTGAACGAAATTATTTTCTCGAAGGGCAACTTACAAGGGGACAGACAGCCTTCTGAGGGTTTGCTTAAGAGGCAGTGTGGCTGCTGTGAGCACTAGATCTCTAGATTTGGCCACAGCTTTACAGGGTCACTTTGGCGCCATGGTTCCTCCTTGTGCCTCAGTTTCCCCACCCATTAAATGGGAACGCTAATGTCTTCCCCTCCCTACCTCATGGGGAATGTCAATGAACTCATCTGGGAAGCTGGAGATGATACTATGCAAATATGTGAGTTTTATGGGTTTGATTTCTGGTTCATGAGCCTGTCTCCCCAACCCCGTAGGCAAGGCCTTCCCCCTGAGTCCCTGCCTTGAATCTAAAGCCCAAGAATAGGCCATTACAGGCCATCAGCTCCCTCAACCCCTCCTTGGCCTTTTGGACTGAGCCTCAGCCTTCCTCCTCACCGTGTGGGAAGGAAGGTGCCCTGTAGATAGGCCCAGGGGGATCCTTCCCGGGCTGGAGGTCACCTTGACTGGGAACTTGGCTTCTCCACACCTGAAATACAGTAGAAGCTAGGTAGAGATGTTTGTGATTCAGAAACCTGCTCTGAGCCCAGAAAAGTGCTCGTTTTCCAGATCTCTTCAGTTATTCCGGGCTCCTTGAGGAAAGAAGAAAACAGCCCATTCCAGAGGCAAAAGGCATGCTCCCAGCGGGGGTAGCAGTCGGGACATGCATGCATGTTTCTTCATACATGTGTATGTGGCCATCCTCACTGTCATCCCTAAGAAGACATTTCCTTGTCACATCAGAGCATGCCTGAAAGTGAAGGGTTTGTGAGAGCCCGGCTCCCTGGGGACCCTGGTTGCCGTAGCAACCTACCAGACGGTTCTCTCTGTCTTCTGATGTGGGCATCCAGGGAGAACTGGGGACTTACATCTTCCCTGCTTTTCAACCGGGAATGCCTCCACATGCCAGTTTAGGGGCTGTTGGCACCAGGACAGGGACGTGGGACCTTCAGAAAACATAGAGGAAGCAGGTTCCCAAATTCCCTCCCCGCACCTTCCTTCCTGGTTTCCCCACCCAGTCATTGAAGCTGCTTCATCTTACTCCGGATTCTTCGGAAACTTGAGTGCTGAGCAACTATCCAGTTAAGCCAACGCCGATGTTAGGTTCTTCAAAATGACAAGGGGAGCCTGTGGAGAGGGCGGCTTATCCCTCGAGCGGCAGCCAGGTTGGGCCTCGCCAAGAGTAAGGATAGTCTTAGTATGATGGAGTTCTCATCTCCTCAGAGGTAGGCTCTTCCCAGCTCCGAGAAAGACAGAGCGAAATGCAACTCTTCCTCCCAGGGAACAGCCTAGGGCCTGGGAGGAATCTCATAGGTAGTTCATCTTGAGATGCCGAAAAAAAACCCCCGAGAGGCTGTGGTCCTACCTAGTTTCTGGGAAGGATCTTGTCAAGCGACCCTCTCTGACCCTGAACCTCTTTATGTGGATTTTGTGCTGAGCACCAAGAGAATATGTACAATGTGTTGCCTGGACAGCTGGGGTGGCGAGTCACAGCTGCCAGCAAAGGCGGGGTCCAGGCCATCCCTACACCTGACTCAAGCTGGCAAGACCTCCCAGAGGACTTCCTGGAACTGTCAGCCTCCAGCCTGTGCCGTGGGATATCCCTCCTGCCTCAGCGTCCCTAAGGAGCGAGGAGGGACAGCTGGCCGTGTTTGCAGCTGAGGTAGGTTCTGCTGCAGGGGGATCTCGTTCCTGGATCAGTCCTTCAAGGTCGTGGGGAGGAGGCGGGAGAGGATGCATCTGGGGAGTGCAAGGTTTCTCTCAGCCACCACTTGGCTTCTTTCTGTGTATTTTTCTTTGCTTCCATCCACCTCAGAGTTGTTCTCCTTTGCTTTCCCCCCATTGCTGCTGTCCGCCTTTGAAATCGTCTCTTTTTGTCCCTCTGGATTTTTCCCTTTCCTTCTTTTCCTTCTCTGGTTTTTTTCCTCCCGGCTCCCTTCACCCCCTTGTTGCTTAACCTCTTCTTCCTTCTTTGTGTATCTTGCCACCTGTCTTTCTCTCTCTCTCCTCCCTTTCCACGGATGGGAGCATCGATGTTGCTCACACATCGAACCTAGCATAGCCATGATGCAGGCTGTTTGCTAAGAAGGTGGCTTTGCAGCCAGAGGAGTCCCTTTTTCCTGGCGTCTCAGGACAACACCCTTTCCTACCATGCTCACCTCTGTCGGGGGAAGTCCTGAGCCTGCCAGGCAAGAAGATGAGACTGCTATGGGTTTAGGAAAAATGTCTCTTAGAGATTTCCTGCATCTGCAAGGATACACGAGAGAAGGTGAGGGGCGGGGGGATGAACCTGGTAAGTCTCAGGTAAATACTCTGAAGAGCCCTGGTCCCCCAGCCTAAGGAGGCTTGCAGAGAGGTCAAAGACAAAGGAACCCTAGAAATAGCACAGTAAGCCAAGAAAAGAGGACTGAGGAGGAAGAGAGAAGATTGGAGTTAGCCTGGGAAAAGCCTTAACTCAGGGGTGGCTTTGTAACCGCCTTTAATTCACTTGAAAGATTTCTTAGCATCTGGCCATCCTGCTTGTGCACTGAAGGCAGAACAACAGGACAGGACATAAATCCCAGTTGTGCAAGGTGTAGGGGACACTTGACAAGGGGGATTAGGATTCTTTAGCCAGTCCATAGGGGGAGTGTCTGGACTCTCCTCACTGGAGGTCTTTGAACATAGGGTAAGTGCCACCTGCATCAGGACAGCAGGAAGGCCCTAGGGGTCCCCCAGGGGCTGAAGACTGGCACCAGAGACCTGGGGGCGGAGGGAAGTGTTTTAAGGCAGCATTGTGGTGATAGTCACACAACTCTAAAATTCACCCCAAAGTGCTGAATTTTGGAAAAAAATGGCATGCATCAAATAACCTGGGGGTTTTACATCTGAGCTGGGAGGATGGTGTGGTTTTACAAATCTAGAAGTTTAGCATTTCTGAAGATGAGTCAGACTGAATATCTGGAATGGAATGACATTTTTTTTCTCCCACCACTTGGGGACACCTTAGAGCTTGCAGGCAGTTCCTTTCTATTCATGCACAATACAAGAACTGGTGTGTGTGTGTGTGTGTGTGTGTGTGTGTGTGTGTGTTTAGTTTTGGCATCAAACTGTTGTGGGATTTACACAGTGCTTTTGCTCTAAGGAGTGTTTTTGCTCAAGTCTTTTTTTTTTTTAAGTGCAGAACGTCATTAGCATGTGTGGAACTATGACGGTTATGTTGGATGTAACTCATTCTATAGGACTAGGTTAGGGCATGTGTCCAGGGGACTTATACTTTTCTGACAAAACAAAGAAACAAGTAACAAAATCCACCTCCTCCTCCCTAAGACGCCTTCCAAAACGCCACCTGATACCAGCACCTGTAAATTGAGAATTCCTTAAGAAATTGCACAGGGGCCAAGATTTCACTTTTCCTGGCCTCTCCCCATTCTCCTGACAGTAGCATTAACCCTTGACAGCCTTGTGATGAGGTCCCAGCGGTCTTTGGTGCCCTTGCATTGTGATGTCGGTCTTGGTTCTCCTTTGGTTCTCATTCACCTTGGCCTCCCTGGTTCCCTTCCTTCTTTCCCTTTGATGCTTTTCCTCAGATGCCCCTGCTGGTCCCTGGGACTTGTCACTCCACTTCACAGGCCGAACCCTTGCTTTCGGCCGCCTCTCTGTCCCAAGGTAGATCCCCTAGGAACGTTGTCCTCACAGAACAATCTGGCGGGAGTTGATGGGTTTTGACTGTGTGTTGCTGCCATGAGAAGTAAAGGGTGCTCTCATTCCACCTTGTCACGGCCACTTAGGGGAGGAAAAGAAATCTGTTTACAAAGCAGTTGAATTTCCTCTCTCCATCTCACTTCATACCAACTGCCTTGGGTTGCACAGGCAGCTCGTAGCAGAATAAGGTCTGGAGCTCAACTGATGGGGGAGAGGTTCCCAGACCCAGGCCACGGGGAAGGAAGACAGATGGGCTCTTAGTTCTCATCTTGCCAGGACTCTCCGTGAGCCGCTTTCCTGTTCTGGACTTGAGGTCCCTGTGGGGTTGGAGATTGCCATGTTTTTCATGTCCCTTTGCTTTGAACTTGAGGAAAGTAGCTCACCCTGCTTCTCTGTCCTCTTGGTACTCATCCCTTCGCCTTCCATGGAATCCCATCAGCAACCACTTTTGAGGGTTTATCCCAGCAGAAAAGTGACCCCTCATTCTCAGAATAAAAGAGGAAAAAAGACCTGCCTTGCAGGAAGTATTGTAAACACTGGTCTGACCTTGGCTACTCCTTGATCTGTTTGAGGCCTAGCCCTGCTGGGGTTTATGACAGTTAAAAAATACACACACAATTACATTTGGGAGGTTAAAGAGGAAGAATTGCTTGAGTCCAGGAATTTGAAGCCAGTCTGGGCAACATAGAGAGACCACATCTCTACAAAAAAGAAAAAAAACAAAACCAAAACTCCAACCTCATCATTGTTACTCTAAAAAGACTTTCTCCTTAGTCAGTTGTGAGTTCCAGCACCGATTTTTTTGCCTGCCCCTAGAAAACATTCTGGAAGCTTCAGCGGCCTCTGCTGCAGGCTGCAAGGAGCACAGACAAGCCCTGGCTCTCTGGTGAGAGCGAAGTGACATTTCAAAAGGAAATTGCAGCCACGCAGTCTGCTGGCGCTGCTATTTTTGACGTGCTTGCTGTTCTCTCAGGGCTTGACAACCGCTGTCTCCAGGAGACAGACAAACCTGCTCGTGGAAGCAGAGATGTTGCTTTGAAAAAGACCACGGGAAGACCGTCCTGCAGCTGGGAGGGGCGGGGAGGCCATGACCTTGGGAGCCTGGCACCTGGCTGGGGGGCGCAGATCTAAGGCTGCCGGATTCATCCCCACCCCTACTCTGCATCCTCCCAGTGGGTGTGGTCCTGATGGCATCATTCACGGACAGAGAGTTTTCAAATGTGTGCAGTGCTTTCAGGCGTCATGCCATATAACACAGTGGTCAAGAGCTCGGACACCGGAGTCGGATTGCTGGAGTTCAAATCCCTCTTCTGCTAGGTGACACTGGATGAGTTAAGAAACTGCTCTGGGACTCAGTTTCCGTCTCTGACAGATGGAGGATAGCGATAGTGCCAATCTCATAGGGCTGTTTTGAGGATTCAATGTGTGGATATATGTAAAGCGTTGGCTGTTATTATCACTATTATCCTCCCACAGCAAGGAAATGAGTAGGTAGGCTTGGCATCATTGTCCTCTTTGGCAGGTAAGAAAACTGAGGCTCAGTGGGATTGTGATGTGTTCAAAGGCACACAGCAACGGGTGGCCAATTTTTCCACGAGATGGAAAAGAAGGAAGCATAGTGAGGGTCTGATGGACATCGACCAAGAAGAGAGAATGAATCTGTGTGTCCTGAACGCGTGTCTTGGCTTCTGTTTACATGCCAGTTTATTTCTGATGGAACAACATCAGCTTTCCTAGGGGTCTCTGAAAGCATATGGGGATATGTGTGAGATAATAAACATATTGTATATGAATCATATATATGTGGGATGTCTTTCTGGAGAGCACTCACTTGCTGCGATGACTGTTTCTCTCCCTCTCTCACTGAACACCCTCAGGGCTGACACTCCACCAGAGCCTTTCCCACTTGTTCACATCCTCCTGCTTGGGACAAATGTGGGGTCTTGAAGCTAGCACGAGGGACAGAACCCATGAGCCAGACCCCAGCCCAGAGTTTTTCCACGCTGGCTCAGCGGCTTTCACATTTCCACTCACAGCAGCCACCCACTCTGTTCCCCAGCCACCTGCCTGTCCCGCCGTGTCTCCGTGCCCACTTTGTGGGTGTCCTTTAACCTCTCGGATCTTCCAGATTTTCTGCTCTCCTTTACGGTGGAGATGACAGGAGGGCCCAGAGCTGGCAGAAGCCGGCTCTCTTACCCATGTGGGCATCCGCTGGCCTGCCCTCTGATGAGACAGCAGCTGGGGTGGCTGTCATCGTGGGTGCTGGCTGAGCAGAGTGCTCTGTTCACCCTCAGCTCACTGCTGTAGCCACCACGGCTTTTCACAAGGGTCCCAGCCCAGGGCAAGGTGCTGAGATGGCCCTTGTGCTTCGAGATGCAGGGCTTCTCGGCTGGCTTGCCTGGGAGTTAGAGTGCTGGGTCTGAATCACTGTTGATTAACCGTACCTCATTTAACCTCTCCAAGCTTCAGTTCTGTCATCTGCAAAAGAAGGAAGCTAATGCTATTCGCCTCACACAGTTGTCATGAGGCTCCAAAGAGACTGCCGGTTAAAGGGCTTAGCAGGAAATACACTCAGCAAAGCACCGCTGAGACTCAGAAGCCCACCTGAGGGCGGGGCTGGAGCCACCTGCATGCCAGAGAAGGGTAGGGTCCCTACGTGCTTTGGTTCAGTTCTCTGAAACCAAATCGAAAAGAAATATGACATAAAAAATAGACTCTGGATAGCTATCTATTTTTACCAGAAGGCTCTTTGCCTAGAGGATTCACAGCAGAATTTCTTTAAATAATTGCACTTACAGTGTGATTTGATATACAGAGATGTAATTGGAATACATCTTGGAAGAATAGGATGGATTTACTGGTAATATTTTTTCATCAACGTTTGTTTCCAGCCAAACTAGAATGAGGATTCTTCCTTAATCCTTCCCTCAGGCCCCAGGGCATCGCAAAGGACAGTGCTAAGGGCTGCAGACGGACAGG